AGCAGTAGTAGTACTAGTGGTACTAGTGGTAGTAGTGGTAGTAGTGGTGGTAGTAGTAGTAGTAGGAGGAGGTGGAGGAGTAAGAGTAGGAGTAGGAGTAGGAGTAGGAGTAGGAGTAGGAGTAGTAGTGGTGGTAGTAGTAGTAGTCGTAGTAGTCGTAGTAGTAGTAGTAGTAGTAGTAGTAGTCGTGGTGGTGGTAGTAGTAATAGTAGTAGCAGCAGCAGCAGCAGTACAGGAGTGGTGTTGGTGCAGCGGTAGTAGTAAGAATAGCAGGAGTCGAGTTGTAGTACCAACAGCAGCAGCAGCAGCAACAGGAGCAGGAGGAGGAGGAAGAGGTAGAGATAGAGCAGTAAGTAGTTAGTTGTATCTCGCAACAAGAATGGTCGCAGAAAGAAACAGGGGCACGATGCATAGAAGAATGATGACTGCACTTCCCAGGTTCCGTCGTCGTCGCATCGACAAACGCCTTGGCAGGACCCGTGTTTTTCATCACATCAGCCCCGGTTTTCGTGACAGTGCGCGAGTCGCGGGAGCTGCAGAGTCTGCAAGTGTTTGCAAGTTTGCAGAGCCACGGAGTCTGAGAGCCCAAAAACCCAAGCTATCTTTTGGAGGATTCCAAAGGGCCAGGAGTCGCCTTTTGGCGACTTCCCGGAGGACTTTGTTAGGCAGCGAAGCGGGCTCAGAAGGCATCTCACGATTCAGGATTTGTTGGGCAGTCTTGGCGTCTGGCAGCTCGCGGGCCACGAACAGTTGGACTGATACGTACTGAATGCTGCAGCCCAAATCGCAATGGCAGACATATTCCGAATCTGTAAAATAGCTCCAGCCAGTCAATTTTGGCATCCGCAGTCTGAAACAAAAACCTGCCCTCTACTCGACAGTGCCGAAGCCTAGACTTAGACGAAACGGCCTGAATCTCGGAGCCCTCGAGTTCCTGGCAGACCCTCCTTTCCTGCGCCGCTCTCGGCGCGAGCATCCTTGGCGGCCACAGCACCGCTGCCGGGCAAGATTCAGGCCTTCACGTTGCACTTGGGGAGGATGGAAAGGTAAGGTTCGGGGCTTCGTTGAAAATCATGTCAGGTTAATTAACTGTTCAGATGGCTTGGTGTTTGGAGTCTTGGGTTTGGGCTTTGAATTCATGGGCTGGGGCTTAGGAATGAGGCATCGAGAACGGAACTTGGGAAGAGGCACTTGCGCACGGTGTGCCGTCCTCGAGCTCAGCGCAAAGACGCCAAGCCTTTAAAGGTCTGAAAGCCTCGTTTGGCTCCCGACGCGCATGCCAGTCTTCATTGACAGCTGCAGCGAGAATCATTGATTAAAGCAAAGAGGCGTCGTGGTCGTCCGTGCTAACATCCCTGAGCTCCTGAATCTCGCAGCATCGCAGGATACGAGTCCACGCCAGGGTGCCGCAGACGTCCGTGGGAGGCTTTTCGGGAGATTTTTCATGTTTGCGGAGCGCGCAAGCTGCAATATGAGTGTCGACCCCGATACCGATTTTATCGGACCCTCATCAAAGCCGTACTACCGCGAGCAACATGACAAGATCAGAACGAATAGTACTCTGCCGTCGTACGGGTAACGACAGAGCAGTGGTAATTGTAATCGCAGTCATCGTCGCCGACATCGTGCAGTCGAAGATTCGACGCCGTAGCAGCAGTAGTCGTCGCCGTCGTCTTAGTTGCAGTCGAGGTCGTAGTCGTAGTAGTAGTCGTATTCATAGTCGTAGTCGTAGTCGTAGCTGTCGTAGTCGTCGTCGCAGTAGTGGTAGTGCCAGTGCAAGGGCTAGTGCTAGTGCTCGTGATCGTGGTCGTGGTAGTGGTAGTGGTAGTGGAGTTAGTAGTAGCAGCAGTAGCAGTAG